GCCAGGCCTCCAGAGTGGCCTTTTTGTAGAAAGGCACCCTTGGTCCTTGCCTGGTGGGGGCAGAATGGTTTGGCAGCAGCTCAGGGAACTGCTAGGGGGGCCCCATGCCCCACGTGACTGGAAAGCCATTGCTCAGCTTCCAGAGTCCTCTCTGCTGGTCCCTCCTTCAGTCTCCACCTCCAGGCGCTGAGTGCTGTCAGCTCCCTCTGTCTGGGACCCTATTCCTCTCTCTTGTCTCCCTCTGACTCATCCCGCAGGTTTCAGCAGGGATGCCACTGCTTCTCTGACCCTGGTCTGGGCAGGACGCTTTCCTCTCTGACTTCCTCCGCGCACGGCCTGTTCCTCTGTCTCCATCTGTGTCTCTGGGGAAATGCCAGCACATAGTAGGCCCTCAATAAGGATTTGTTAATCGAATGAGTAGGAAAACAAACCTTGATTCCCTTCCTGCCTTAATTCTTCTTTTGTTTTGACAAGAAGAGAGGGAGTCTGCTCTGTCTGCCTTTGCAGGGCTGCTGGCCGTGAGGCAGGGTGTGGGGGTGATGGCTCGTCTTCACCGACTGACCCTGACTTTCTCTTCTGAGCCCTCTGGGCTGGGCTCCACATTGGTACTTGATCACACATGGTCATGTATGGACCACTGTTCCCGGCCCTCTGTCAGCTGGGCTTCCTTAATAACGTTAACCGACACTCTTTGAACACTTACTATGAACTAGATACTGTTCTAAGTACATTTAGTTTTTCACTCATCAAATGCTCATTCAGTACCCACCATGCCTCATGTGCTGGGAAATATGGATACAGTACAGTGAACACAACTGACAAAGCCGCTGCCTTCATGGAGCTTATATTTGATACAAACAGATGAGTAAGTCAGTCCACACTGAGGCAGATGTGATGAGTGCTGTGGGAAAACAGATCAGAGTCGGGAAAGGGAGTGACTTGTTATTATGTATCAGGAACGACCCACAGATAAAGTAACATTTGAGCAGAGGCCTTAAAGAAGTGAGGAATGGTCATGGGGGTGGGGGAGACCTTTCCAGACAGAGGAAGCAGCGAGTGCAAAGGCCCTGAGGTCAGGGCAGTTCCAGGAAAACCAAGGAGACCAGTGGGCTGGAATAAGTGAGCAGGGGAAGGAGTAGGAGATAAGGTCATAGAGCACCGTTGGCTAATAGAAATACAGGGTGGGGCCAAAGTAGGTTTATAGTTGTGAGTACACAAAGCACAGAGCTTATTCTTATATTCTTATTTATTAACTAGGGGCCCAGGGCATGAATTTGTGCACCTTGAATGGAACTGTGGGCCAAGAGGCTGCGGTGGGCACAGGGGCAGGTCTTGGCCCATCCTCCGTGGCCCCCCCTTCCCTGTCTGCCAGCAGGCCGCTGCTCCTGCACTGATGGTGCCAGCCCCACTCTCACCAGCTGACGGTACTGAGCGATTTGGGCCTGAACCGTCAGTGGGTGCAATCGCCCCTCAGGAGCAGGGGGAAGTGGAGAAACCCTTAGGGGCGATCAGGGCCAGCAGCCACCGCTCGCACCTGCTGATGGTGCCGAGTGATCGGGGCGGGCACCGGCAGCGGGTGCAAGCACCGGGTGGGACCACGGTGTGCGGGAGCAAAGAATTTTCAGTAACCACCAGAGGCTCACCCCGATGACAGTGACCGGTGCCCCTCCTTGGTCTGGTGCTCCCGCTCACCTGCTCCACCATCCTGCCGCGGCCGATGCCTGCCATGTTCCATGCTCTGCCGCCTGCTGCCCATGTTCTGGCGCCCCCATCATAGCGACTGGTTGTTTGGTTGTTCCGCCATTCGATCTATTTCCATATTAGCCTTTTTTTATATAGGATTATTGTGTTATTTTCTGTTGAACAACTGTAAACCTACTTTTGCCTCACCCTGTATCATATGTCACATACGTAATTCTAAATTTTTTAGCATCACATTAAAAAGTAGAAAGAAACAGGTGAAGTTAAGTTATTTAATTTTTAAATTATTTTTAAAAAGATCTGTGTTTATTGATTTCAGAGAGAGAAAGGGAGAGGGAGAGATAGAAACATCAATGAGAGAGAATCATTGATTGACTGCCTCCTGCACACCCCCCAGTGGGGACCAAGCCTGAAACCTGGCAGGTGCCCTGAGTGGGAATCGAACTGTGACCTCCTGGTTCACAGGTCGATGCCCAACCACTGAGCCACACTGGCTGGGCCAAGTGAAATTAATAATACGTTTAACACAATATCTCCAGACTATTATCACTTCAACATGTGATCAAAGTAAAATATTGTTAGTGAAATGCTTTACACTTTTTTTGTGTAAAGTACTCAAAATCTGGTGTGGACACCTCATTGTAAACGAGCCACATTTCAAGCTCAGTGGCCACGTGTGGCTCGTGTGGGACAGCACAGGCATAGAGGCCACAGGCCACGCCAAGGCCTCTGAATGAGATGGGATGTCACTGGGGGCTTCGGGGCCCAGGATCTTTTCTCTGCCTCAGGTTCTACAACGTTTGCTTCTGTGATGAGAGGATTGTTTTGAGGGGAGGGGAGCTGGGCAGGAGGCCTTCCCAGCCTGCAGCGGTCGGTGGTGGCTGGGGCCAAGGTGGCAGCAGTGGTGGGGAGAGGTGGATGGATTCCGGATGGATTCTGGAGGTAGAACTGCCAGGTTTTTCTGATGTGGTGTGTGACTGAGAGAGGAGTCAGGAAGCACCAAGATTTTCGGCCTGAGCCCTGGAAGGGTGTGGCTGTTTTCAGAGGGATGAAGGAGACCGGGGGCACAGCCTGGGGGGAACATATGAGGTTTGGTTTGGGGGCATGTGAAGTTTGGGATGCGGTGCCAGCCTTTCAGGTGGAACTAGCAAGCAGGCAGGTGGACATGATTCTGGGGTTCAGTGGGGAGGTCTGATTGGGAATTATTGATGACAGTTAAGGCTGTGAGGTGATCTGAGGGCCCGGGGGAGCGGGTGCAGGGAGAGCGGGGCTGAGCCTGGTGGAGAAGACAGGACAAGCAGAGCAGGTGGGGGAGCACAGGGAGGCAGCAGGAGGATGGGCAGCCAATAGGGGAGGGCGGAGGGAGCAACCGGCTGTGTCCAGCGTGCCGAGGGGTCCCTGACCACGGACACGGGTGGGAGTGAGGCAAACACCAGCCTGCAGTGCGTTCAGGACAGAATGGGAAGGGAGAAGGAGACGCTGGTATAGATGACTGGTTTGAGGGTTTGCTTTAAAGGGGAGCAGAAAAATGGGGTGGCAGCTTAGCCATGTTTCCTTAAAGATGGACGATGCCATAGCCAATGGGGTTGTTCTAGCAGACGGGGCAAAATTATCGTGCGGGAGAGAGACAACGATGAGAGACCTCATTCATGCCTGCAGAACACTCTGAGGCAGGCACTGTTTAGTAGACAGGGAAACTGAGCAAAGGGGGGGTACAGCCCTCGCCAAGGCCACAGCTGATGAGCAGCAGGGCCAGGAGCGGACAGAGAGGCTCAGTCTGACTCCTAGGCCTGCGCCTGCCTCTTGGTTTCCTGGCTGGACTGATGAGCTCTCGAGAATGGGAGCCCCTCTTACACTTCTGATCCGACACGGCACCTGGCAGGGGCGGGCCGTGCAGAGGTGGGGCGTGCTCTTTAATGACCCAGGGACCGGAACCTCGGACCCATGCTGGCAGCGCTCAGGCTCCTGGGGAGAGGGGGCGGGGCCATGGGAGGGGAGGCTCGGTGTCAGGTGCCTCACTCAGGTCCTTCCCACCTCTTTGCAGGGCCTAGAACGGGGGTGGTGCTCGGTAAGGATGAGAAAGCATTTGTTGGGTGAAGAATGAATGAGAAGATATGGCCCATCCTAAAACCCAAGCCGCTGGTTCTCTGCATTCCGTGGTGGGATCTGGGCGCCTCTGGTTTGCTGCCGGCATGCGGGGTGACCGTGGCCAGCCCTCTGTCCACTTGGGGCCTCAATGTCCCCACCTGTGAAGTGAAGAAGCAGGGTTAGGTGATCGCCCATCCGCTCTCACCAGGGCACCTGAGGGGCATGTGCACACTGGATCCCTGCCTCCCGCACCGTCTGTCCTCAGGACGGACAGGCGCTCTGCAGGTGGGAGTAGCTGGCGGTGGAGGCCGCCTGGCCCCTGTGCTGTGTTCCCCATGGAACAGCTGAGACTTGTGGGGTGGGACCTGGCGATTCCTGGGATCCTGCTTTGTGCCCACGGGCAGCGGCACGAAACTCAAAGCCATGGCACTGACTCCAGAGCCCAGCAGCCAGCACGTCTGCCCTGTGGCTGCTCATGCGCTCAGCCCCTGAGTCGGGGACGTGCCTTCAGCCTACACCTCGCACCGCCAGGCTCCCCCCCAGAGCTTTCTTGTTAGTGGGTCTGGGCACTAACCAGCTACAGTGGCACCCTACCCACCCTGCCCCGCCCCACTGTGGGGCATTGGAACTGTGTGAGGCAGGCCAGCTCCAGTGGGCATGGTGGTGGGGAGAGGGGTGGCAGGGGTGCTGTTTGTGCCTTGGCTGCTGAAGCTCCCGTGTGAGAATGTGCCCCCCTAAATGCCAGCGGTGTCCCTGCCGGAAGCCTGCTCTCGCGCGCTGCTGTGGTGCTCAGGGCCCGGCCCGTCTGGGCTTAGCTGCCGTCCAGCCGTGTGATCCTGAGCCAGTCCCTCCCCCATTTCCCACACGTGTGAACGGAGCTGCGCACGAACACCGAGCGCTCGCCTTCTCTGCTGTAACGAGTCTTAAATATGACGCTGGAGTAACAGCCCTCCTCCTAGGACGTGTGTACTCACCACACGTGTGTACCCTGTGCCAGGCGCTGCCCGAGCACTGCGTGGACCTGTCCATCCCTGTTTAACCCTCACCACGCCCGAGGGGAGGCCCTGGTAGGTGGCCCCATTTCACAGACGAGGAAGCTGAGGCAGAGCATAGGGAATGCTGAGAGGTGTCCCCAGAGAGCAGGTGCGGTGTGGGGCGGAGGGATGTCCCAGGCCTGCGCAGCCCTCTGACCTCTCTCCCCTCCCGTCCAGGGACCGGGGCGGACCCGGCGGTCAGTGCCAAGAGCAACCACTGCCTGGACGCGGCCAAGGCCTGCAACCTGAACGAGAACTGCAAGAAGCTGCGCTCCTCCTACATCTCCATCTGCAACCGCGAGATCTCGCCCACGGAGCGCTGCAACCGCCGCAAGTGCCACAAGGCCCTGCGCCAGTTCTTCGACCGGGTGCCCAGCGAGTACACCTACCGCATGCTCTTCTGCTCCTGCCAGGACCAGGCGTGTGCCGAGCGCCGCCGGCAGACCATCCTGCCCAGCTGCTCCTACGAGGACAAGGAGAAGCCCAACTGCCTGGACCTGCGCAGCGTGTGCCGGACCGACCACCTGTGCCGGTAAGAATGGCCACCCTGTGGGGTGTCATGGGCGGGAGCCCTCCCTTCCCGCATCCCCTGGGTCTGCTGGGTTACGATCCTGGGCCCAGCAAAGGCTTGGGCATGTGCAGAGTAAACTGTCATCCACATCCCCCCTCCCTCCTCCCCTCCCCTCTCCTTCCTCGCCCTCCATGCCTCGCCCCCTCCGGAGACCCTGACCGTCCTCAGCGAGGCCGTCCAGAGATGGTTCACAAACATCCCCGCCCGTTGTCTGCTGCGGGTCCAGATGCACCGCTCACTTGGCTGGCTTCTTCCCTCCCTCCCTCCCTCCTTCTGCCCAGGCCTGTTGTTTGCCTTCTCTGTGCCCAGCCTTATGCTAAGCATCCTGGGGAAACCAAGGTGAAAACCCAAGGAGCTGATAATTTAAATCATAGACCCCTAGAGCCAGGAAGAGGAAGGGCTCTTCAGGAATCCAGTCCCACCTCTAACGGAAATCCCCCACTATCCCCATGAGGTCATGTGGCCGTCAGGGAGGGGCTCTCAGGGGCACGTAGGCAGGTTCTTCCCCATCAAGAGCCGAGCCCATCTGGGGTCTGAGAGTTCTGGGTTTGAATCCAGGCTTTTCGACTTCCTGTCTGTCGCTGGAGCAAGATTTTTAAATGTCCTGCGTCTCCATCCCTTTACCCGTAAAACAGGAATAAAAGTACCCGTGTTCAGGGTTACTGTGATTACATGATGTGTGTCCAAAGCTTAGTACAGAGCCTGGCCACTAGCTTATGTTTAAAAAGTGCAGCCTAATTATTAGGAGGATTTTGTTGCTGTTACGGTGAGTTGAAATTTGCCTCTTTATGATTCTCTTGCTTTTCTTGTTTGTTGCTAAGCATTTATGGGGCCCTCTCGTGTCCAGTGCAGGTTCTAAGGCCTGGGCATGCAGAGTGAGCACGGTGCTCTCTTATCACCTAAGGAGCATACAGTCCAGAAAGGACGCCAGGAGAGCAGTGGTCCCAGGGCAGTGGGACAAGGGCCGAGGGCGCCCCAGGAGGGAGCACAGGGGAGGGAGGGGCATCCCCCTCAGCCTGGGGGTCCAGAGCGGGGGGTCTTGAGCTGAACCTTGGAAAGTGGGAGGGAGAAAGCCAGGGAGTAAGTCAGCTGGAAAAGCACATACAAAGGCTGGAGGGCAGGAGGGAACCTGGCAGGTGGTGGGCACGTACGGAGTGTGGGCCACGCGGTGGGGAGGCCAGAGGCGGGGAGGCCGAGCGAGGCTGCTGGAGAAACAGGGCTCACATTGTGCAGAAAGCGAGTGCCTACCATCTACCAGGCACTGTCCATCCTGTGGTTCATCTCTCTTAATCCTCGCAACAAGGCTGCACCGAGGTAGGCACTGCTACCATCTCTGTTGCCAAATGCGAAGCCAGGGATAGAAGTGACCCGCCTGAGGTCACCCAGCACATGCATGTCAGAGCTGGGATCCGGTCGAGCTGCCTTCGTCCCCGTGTAGCACACGGGCCTGGGCTATGATAGCGGCTGTGGCGATGGAGGTATCCTCTTAATCCTCGCAACAAGGCTGCACCGAGGTAGGCACTGCTACCATCTCTGTTGCCAAATGCGAAGCCAGGGATAGAAGTGACCCGCCTGAGGTCACCCAGCACATGCATGTCAGAGCTGGGATCCGGTCGAGCTGCCTTCGTCCCCGTGTAGCACACGGGCCTGGGCTATGATAGCGGCTGTGGCGATGGAGGGGGGTGTGTCGTTTCAGAGCTGATTGGTAAGTAGACTTGACAGGACTGGGTGACTGGTCGAAGTTCCCTGGAGGCAAAGCCGTTTCTGTTTTGTTACCCCTCACCTCGTCCTGCACGCGGAGCCTGGCGTGTGGTGAGCCTGGCACAGACATCACTCGAACGGATACAAGGCTGGTGACTGCAGTGTTTCCTGGGTGAATAACTACAGGGCGATGGGGCCATTCCGCATGTGTGGGTGTGGGGTGTGCAGTGTTGGAGGTGCCTGGATGCGTGGGCTTGGCGCTCAGTGCAGGGGCCAGAGCAGAGAGGTGGGTTGGGTCTTGCTGGGAGCCTCGCTGGTGATTAAAGCCACGGCAGTGAATGAGATGGGGTGGGAAGGCTGGTAGAGCCCACGAGGGAGTCTAGGCAGGAGATGCCTGCCGACCTAGGCATCCTCAGTGCTGAGGTGGTAAGAGAAGCACCAAGTCTTAACGGAGGGACACAGGAAGAGGAGCCTGCAACAGGGAGGCTCGGGGGCTCTGGACAGCCAGGGGACAGTGGGCCAGAACCCAGAAGAGGAGGGGTTCCTGAGGGAGGGAGGGAGGGAAGGAGTGGCGTGGTGCCTCACAGAGTATATGTGCGAGTGAGAGGACGTGAGAGCGTATATGTGTGTGAGTGTGTAGGTGTGTGTGTGTGAGAGTATGTGAGGGTGTGCATGTATGAAAGTTTGCAGGTGTGTGAGTGTATATGTATGTGTGAGTGAGAGGGTGTGAGAATCTGTATGTGTGTGAGTGTGTGAGAGTGTGAGTGTGCGTGTGCGTGTGTGTGGAGGGTGGAAGCCCATTACAGTGGGAGGCCTGGCAGGGAGGCAGAAGTCGAGGCAGTGGGTGCAGACCGCCTTGTGAAGAAGGGCCAGGCAGGCAGGGGGTGGGACGGGGCTTGAGGAAGGGGAGGCCTTCTTTGTCCCAGGGGAGCGCTGGGCCGCGTGCACAGGGAAGGGATGGGCTCCCTGTTTTGGTGCTGCTGGAGTTGCTCCCCATTGCTGGCTGCAGGTCTTGGGAAAGCCCTGCTTTTTAAAATATATACACCTTGTCATCAAAAAAATACGCACAACGTATTGAGGCGATTTAAAATCAAACTATGCGTAAACGGTAGGGCGGTTAGAAGCCCAGCACCCGGAAAGGCTGGGAGCAGTGCCGGGGGAGCGCTGGGCTTCCTGGTGGCCGGGAGACAGCAGAGAATCACGGGCAGCTCGACCCCCACACGCGGTGGAAGGAGCACGTAATTCCTGCAGGAAGATGCGTTCCCTCCTTGTGCAGATGCTGCCGCGATGCTGTCAGGCCTCCTCACACACGGCACATGCGAATGACAGGATGGATGAGGAACTGGGCCTCGAAGGAGGGCCGGCCTGAGGCCCAGCCCAGTGACACCGCTGCTGCCTCCGGACCCAGGGACCCTGTGGGCCAGGTGCTCCCGAGGTCCAGTGGGCTGCAGCCAGGCCCCCCCAGATGTCACCGCGGAGTCCCGGGCAGAGGGACAACATGAACACCAGCACCCACTTTATTGCCGGTGCTTCAAGGAGGGACAGTATGTGCGTCTTCTGAGGTGTCTGTGGCCGGAGTGGGCAGGCGAGCTGGGAGCAGGCTGGTTTTGGTGGCCTGTAGAACATCTGTGCCTGTTGGAAGAGCCAGAGGCGTTCTTTGTTTGTTCTTCTGGAGGTGGGGGAGCCAGGAACGGGAGAACTGGGGGTACATTTCACCATGTAGAAGGAAAAAGGTGTTACGATGGGACTCAGTGCTGGGCGGGGTGGTGTGGGAGGGTGGGTTTGAAGGAGAGGAGCTGGCCTCTTTCCACGCGCTTTTGGGCCGGACTTACTGACCCGTGGGCCCTGGGGATCCATGGAGGAGTCGGGGGCGATGGGAGGCTGGAGAGGGGCACCTGGAGAAATGCCCGGGAAGGAGGGCACTCACTTCCCTTCTGGCCTGTCTTCCACCCGGTGTCCCCCCCCAGGGTGGGCACCACAGGAAAGGGAACTAGGGACCCCCCAAGCCTTCCTTTCCTGGATACTTTAAGGACACAGCTGGCCTGTCTGGGTGGCAGGAGAGCCTTTCTGGGCTGACTCTGGGAATGAGGCCTCGTCCTCGGGCATCTCCTGGAATGTACCCCGTGCTCCAGGGCTGCAGCACCCAGTCCTGCTTGGCCCCCTCACCCCTCTGCTCGGGGAGTTGGCCCAGCTTCTTTCTGGGGGAATCTTGGCCCAGGATTCCTGGGGATCGGTCGGCCGGAGCCCACCGCAGCTGCACTATATGAGACCAAGTGTGTGACGTCAGTGGTATACGTCACAGACGCCCTTGCTGACTTAGGAGGTGTCCCTCACCACGGAGCGCTCGGGTTGGAAGAGGTCTTTGGTTGCACAAGGATGTGTCCTTGCTCGGACCCCGCGGTTATTGGAAGCACCTCTAAGTCCCCCCTTTGGACCAGCATCAGTTTGGGGTGAGTGTGGAAGCTTCCTGCTCTAGCCAGGGTCCCGGCTGGTCCTGGAGGTGCAGCCTGGGCCTCTCACGCTTGTCTGGTTCCCACGCACGAGCCTTCGGGTCTGTGGGCTTAAGTCCAACAGAGGCTTGTCCTTTAAAAAGTCCTGGTATGGAGTCTGGAAAGCCCAAGGGTCTCTTGGAATGAATCCAAGGGATTTGGCTGAATTCTCTCGCCCAGTCCCCCAGTGGGCTATGGCCTCTTTTTTTTTGTTTTGTTTCTACTCTTAGCTGACACACTCATCACAAGGATGGGTGTAGAGGTCCAGATCATGTGTGTGAGTGTGTATGTATGTATGTGAGCGTGTGTGCATGTGTGTATGTATGTGTGTGTATATATACGTGTGCATATGTGTATATATGTGTGTATGTGTGTAGTATATATGCATGTGAGTGTGCATGGGTGTGTGAGTGCACATGTGTGTGTAGTATATATGCATGTGTGAGTGTATGTGCGTGTGTGTGTGTGTATGTGTGTGTCTTTGGTGTGTGTGTGTGCGGTTGGGGGCTGTGGGAAAGAGGGTTCTGTGTCCTGTGAGCTGTGTTCCTTCTAGGCCTGCGTGGAAGAGGCCTCTGAAATGCCCTGCTCCTCTGGGTCTGTTGAGAGGCTATAAATAGCAGGGCTCTGGCCCCGCGCCATCTCCTGGCTGCAGTTTAACCTCTGGGTGCTGGGGATGTGTATAAATAGACCCAGCCTGGGGCTGCCCTGCTGCCTGCACCCCTCCGCGCAGCAGACACTGTCCTTGTCCGAGAGGACTGCTGAGAAGGGAGA